TTTTTGCATGTTTGTCACACTTAAATGTTTCAGATCATCAAACAAATTTAAATATTAGACAAAGATAACACAAGTAAACACAAAATGCAGTTTTGAAATGAAGGTTTTTATTATTATAGGGGGAAAAAAATCCAAACCTACATGGCCCTGTGTGAAAAAGTGATTGCCCCCCCCCCCATGTTAAAACATAAATTAACTGTGGTTTATCACATCTTTGGAAAGCTGAGTTCAATTTCTCTAGCCACACCCAGGCCTGATTACTGCCACACCTGTTCTCAATCAAGAAATCACTAAAATAGGACCTGCCTGACAAAGTGAGGTAGACCAAAAGATCCTCAAAAGCTAGACATCATGCTGTGATCCAAAGAAATTCAGGAACAAATGAGAAACAAAGTAATTGAGATCTATCAGTCTGGAAAAGGTTACAAAGCCATTTCTAAAGCTTTGGGACTCCAGCGAACTACAGTGAGAGCCATTATCCACAAATGGCGAAAACATGGAACAGTGGTGAACCTTCCCAGCAGTGGCCGGCCGACCAAAATTACCCCAAGAGCGCAGCGACGACTCATCCAAGAGGTCACAAAAGACCCCAGAACAACATCCAAAGAACTGCAGGCCTCACTTGCCTCAATTAAGGTCAGTGTTCATGACTCCACCATAAGAAAGAGACTGGGCAAAAATGGCCTGCATGGCAGAGTTCCAAGACGAAAACCACTGCTGAGCAAAAAGAACATAAAGGCTCGTCTCAGTTTTGCCAGAAAACATCTTGATGATCCCCAAGACTTTTGGGAAAATACTCTGTGGACTGACGAGACAAAAGTTGAACTTTTTGGAAGGTGTATGTCCCATTACATCTGGCGTAAAAGTAACACGGCATTTCAGAAAAGGAACATCATACCAACAGTAAAATATGGTGGTGGTAGTGTGATGGTCTGGGGCTGTTTTGCTGCTTCAGGACCTGGAAGACTTGCTGTGGTAAATGGAACCATGAATTCTGCTGTCTACCAAAAAATCCTGAAGGAGAATATCCGGCCATCTGTTCGTGACCACAAGCTGAAGCGCATTTGGGTTCTGCAGCAGGACAATGATCCAAAACTCCACCTCTGAATGGCTTAAGAAAAACAAAATGAAGACTTTGGAGTGGCCTTGTCAAAGTCCCGACCTGAATCCAATTGAGATGCTGTGGCATGACCTTAAAAAGGCGGTTCATGCTCGAAAACCCTCCAATGTGGCTGAATTACAACAATTCTGCAAAGATGAGTGGGCCAAAATTCCTCTACAGCGCTGTAAAAGACTCATTGCCAGTTATCGCAAACGCTTGATTGCAGTTGTTGCTGCTAAGGGTGGCCCAACCAGTTATTAGGTTTAGGGGGCAATCACTTTTTCACACAGGGCCATGTAGGTTTGGATTTTTTTTCCCCCTTAATAATAAAAACCTTCATTTAAAAAAACTGCATTTTGTGTTTACTTGTGTTATCTTTGTCTAATATTTAAATTTGTTTGATGATCTGAAACATTTAAGTGTGACAAACATGCAAAAAAATAAGAAATCAGGAAGGGGGCAAACACTTTTTCACACAACTGTATATATACATACATACATACATATATATACATACATACATACATACATATATACATACATACATATATATACATACATATATATACATACATACATATATATACATACATACATATACATACATACATATATAGATCGGCGCTGGAGCCGATCCCAGCTGACATTGGGCGAAGGCAGGGTACACCCTGGACAGGTCGCCAGTTTATTGCAGGGCACATATAGTTATATTTTTTTTTAAATTGAAAGACAAGAGACAATACATATACATAACAACAAGAGGATGACAAGAACAGTGGGATAAAAGCCAGCAAACATCCTATAGTCAGTTTGTGTGTGTGTGTGTGTGTGTGTGTGTGTGTGTGTACGTGTGTGAACGTGTGTGTGTGTATGTCCTTGAGCCTTTTGAGATGGGAAAAAAAAATAATAATAATTATTAAAAAACAACAAAAAAACAGGTAAGTATTTTTAATTCATTATTATTGTAACAGACTGTCTCATGTTTATCGTTTTGTATTGGAGATATGATGTCCCTTCAGGGTTGCCGTAGAGAAAAGGCGACTTCCGCTGGTCGAGGGCAGAAATAAAGAGAGAAGCTGCACCAGCTGTTGCTCTCCCTGGAGACTACTGGACATCACTGCGGTAAAGTCAGCAGACACTCAGATCTCCGTGGTCAACTCAGCAGACACTTACATGTTAGTGCACCTATATGCTGAAATTCACCGTAAACGCATTTAAACGGCACAGATCGGGAGCGAGCGAAGGACTTTGAAAGTTAACGGAAAGATTAACGTGAGACAACATCCGGTTTCTTCAGACGAACATCTGGTTTTCAGAATAAGATGCCAACAAAGTATGAATTATATTCACATTAAATATAAAACATGCTACCTGCATCTCGTGAACCAAATGTTATTGCCCTTTTGTTCATATAGCAGTACTTTTAAAATAAAAGTGCGCAATACACTACTTTTGAATTCATTATTGGACTTTGCCATAACAATGCGATTAATCGCAAAAAATCCATGCGATTAATCGCGATTAAATAATTTAATCATTGCCCAGCACTAATATATATATATATATATATAATTTTGATGAACAGGTGTGAGATAGAAGCTAATTAACAATCAACACACCTAAACTTCACAGGATGTTGTCTGTAATGAACTACCTGTTGAGGATGCTGACAGCAATTCAGTTAATTTATATACATACGTGTCGGTGACCCCGGGGCAGATGAACCAGAGGATTGTGGGTAACGGATATCCAGAGCTGTAGCAGGTCAGAGTGTCGTTCTGCACACTGATGATGGCTTTCGGAGAACCTGAAGGAACATGTTTTAGTTTGATGAGAAGATTTAAACAGCAACAGAAGTCTAAAATAAAGAACACAATTTGATGAATGAAAGTAAAGTTGACTTTATTTAATACGACTCAACAGAGAAAACAGAACTCAGTAGTTCTGACCCAGACAACAAGACCCCAAAGCCTTTACTTCAGTACTTCAGTAAACGGGTAGGCGGTAAATAAACTGTACTTGTATAATTGTACTTGTGTTTCCTATTTCTAGTCTTCTGACCACTCAAAGCTCTTTAACACTACACGTCATCATTCACTCATTCATACACTGATGGGAGGAGCTACTATTCAAGGTGACACCTGTCCATCAGGACTAACTAACATTCATACAACATTCATACGGGAGCAATTAAAGGTTAAATGTCTTGCTCAAGGAGACATTGACATGGACTAGTGGAGCCGGGGATTGAACCAACGATCCTCTGATAAAAGGACGACCCGCTCTTCCACTGAGCCACAGTCGACCCAAGAAGAACAGGCAAATCAGGCGAGATCAGAAAGACCATGACACTAGGAAATCCCTGGACCTCTTCACAGAGAGGACGAACACAGGGTTTAAATACTGTGGCAGGTGATGGTGATGAGACAGGTGGGATCAATAAGGGGGCGGGGCAGACAATCACAGTGGCGGGAAAACACATAGACAGGAAGTGAAGTGACCTGAAACGAGAGGAGAGCTAAGAAACACAAAGTAAAACAGGAAATAAAGATAACTGATAAAATAAGAAAACATAACTGATTTACAGGTCGTTAAAGCTTAGAGATCATTTGATAATCAGAAGAAGAAAAAGGGGAAGCTGCAGGGTCAGGGAAGAAGAAGAAGAGGAGAATGAGGATGAGGGGGAAAGGCTTCTTACAGTAGATTCGGAGGTCGATGTTCTTCGTGCCGTTGAAGAACGAGTTAACAAAGTGGAACGAGTATCGACCTCGATCCTCCTGACGAATCCGCCGCAGCAACAAGCTGGCCTCCGACCTGCAACACCAACAATATATCTATAAAACTAATAACCTACAACAATAGACCTTCATATGAACAACACTAACAATAGACCTTCATATGAACAACACCAACAATATATATCTATAAAACTAATAACCTACAACAATAGACCTTCATATGAACAACACTAACAATAGACCTTCATATGAACAACACCAACAATGTATATCTATAAAACTAATAGCCTACAACAATGGACCTTCATATGAACAACACCAACAGTATATATCTATAAAACTAATAACCTATAACAATAGACCTTCATATGAACAACACTAACAATAGACCTTCATATGAACAACACTGTAAGAGCCATTTTGTTGTTTTTGTTTTTGTACAACCTCCCACCACACGGGGGCGTAGTGCCGGTGTGAATCAGGGCACAGGTAATATAATCAGTGGGGTCTTTGGACACAGGTTGTTGCTAATAGCAGAAGCAAACAGTTTTTGACCGTGCACATTTAACGAATGTAAATGTTATGATTTATTGGTTTATGGAGAAAATGCATAACTGAAGAGAAAGTGGTGGAACTCTGATAATGTGAGAAATAACATGCCTATATTGGAAACTGGACTTCCTAATTTATGGCACGCATCAGAACAAACATTTCAGCAACCGTAGTGACTTTTTATTGGGAAGCAACGGTCACTACAAACACTAACAATAGACCTTCATATGAACAACACTGACAATAGGCCTTCATATGAACAACACCAACAATATATATCTATAAAACTAATAACCTATAACAATATACCTTCATATGAACAACACCAACAATATATATCTATAAAACTAATAACCTATAACAATAGACCTTCATATGAACAACACCAACAATATATATCTATATAACTAATAACCTATAACAATAGAACTTCATATCAAGAGCACCTCCTCATGGTGGTGCAGCAGGTCTACAAATGTGAGAATGCTAGCGTGTGTTTGTTAGCATGCTAACCTGTAGCCGTTAGGAGCGTAGTGCTCCTGGTACACCGTATAGTTGTTATTATTGACGTGTGTCGTCGTCGTCCAGCACTGGCTCCTGATTGGAGGATACGCTTCGATCACAAAGGTCAACGTCACATCTCGACCTTCGTACACCTCCACCGTGCTACCGCCGCTAACGTTAGCACCGCTAGCCCCATTCACATCCAGTTGATTGGTGCTAAAGTTAGCAAGAATTTTTCCATTCACTTCCAGGGTACCGCTGCTAACGTTAGCTTCTAGCTCTCCTTGCACCTCCGTTAGCATGCTGCTAACATTAGCACCCAGGCTGTCGTTGACCTCTATGGTCTTAGCGTTAGCGTTAGCTTGATGCATCGGCTGCAGGTAGATCCTCAGGTAGGCACGGTCTGGTGAGGAAGACGATGAAGAGGAGAGACAGTTAATATTAAGTCCCTCCATCATTATGCTTATAGGCTCATTTGATAGATTCTCTTACCCAGAACCCTGAGCTGTGTGGTGTCTGTGGCGGCCCCCGCCTCGTTGACAGCGGTACAGGTGTAGGTGCCACCGTGAGTCCGACTGACAGGTGAGACCCTCACGGTGCTGTTGATGTACAGGCGGTGGTTGATATAGCGAGAGCTGGCAGTGACATTCTGCGTCTGGAAGGAAACCAAAGAACCGATGAATATAAAAAACAGAAAGTCTGTCGTGGGTGAAGACGAGCAGGTGACGTCTGACCTTTGTGTTCGGGTGGTTCCAGGTGACGTTGTAGAAGTGGTTGGGGTTACTGGTCAGACAGGTGACCTCAAAGTTCTCTCCTTCCAGACGCACCGAGTGATGCTGACTGACGGACAGGGAGGGAGGATGACGTAGCCCTGCAGACAGACAGGCAGACAGATACGAGGTAGACAGAGAAGTCATTGGGGGACAGACAGCTAGAAATGTAAATCAGATGGCAGAAGACAGACAGGTCTTACTAGACACCACCACCAGGTTGACAGATGTGGATCTGAACTGCTTTCTGTCCTTCCAGCCGGAACAAACGTATCGTCCTCTGAACGACGTCTGCAGGTCTTGGACCAGGGCTCCTTTCTTAGGGTCAAACGTCACGTTCATGCCCTGGGGCAGGCCCCGCCCCTTGGTCCCGGGGGTGTCTGCCAATTGGAGGCTGAGGTCGGTGACAGACGGGTCGGTGAGCAGACACATGAACAGGAAGTCCTGGCCCTCCTTGAGAGAAGGGCTGGCGCGAGGTGTGACGAACACACTGGAGGTGTCATCTGGGTCTGTGAGAGAGATGCATTGTGGGATACCAAGGTCATTTTTAACAGATGATGAATGCTACAAAAAAGAGTCTCGACAAGTCTATGAAATCTGACTTCAGCTCAATACTTTGAAGACTCGTTTGGATCCAGCCCCGGGGGGCATGGCCTCAGCTGATCTTACCTGTGAAATACAGGTGTATCCAGGTGTCCAGGTGTTTCAGGCTCTGGTTGGTGTACCCACAGCTGTAGGTTCCAGTGTGTCTGGGGTGTGACTTCCTGACCTCCACTGGGTTCTGCAGTCTGTCCCAGTAGAGGAGATTGAGCGCGGTGCTGGTCCAACGGACCGAACCGGTGCCATGACAGCTGAGGTTGAAGGCGGAGCCGGCGGTCAGAGGAACCTCGGTTTGGTTTGGCTGGAAGATGGAGTTCAGATGGATCGACGGAGGATCCGGATCATCTGGAACAAACAAACAGTAACATCAGTTTAACAGCAACTCAAAACAAAAACACCACATGACCACGCCCACACGTGGTGACCACGCCCACTCGGTATGACCACGCCCACATGTGGTGTTGTTTATGGCTCTGATAAACTTTTCTCTCTTTAGTTTGAGGAGCTTTTACAGAGTCGAGCTTCTGGAACAAAATCATTTGATTTTTTCTCTCCAGGTTCCTCGCGACTACATGTCAGAGGAAATTAGCATAAAGGTGAACCTCCACTAGACTACCTGTTCAGGTAAACTTTACAGCACAAAGACACGGTTAGAGACCAGCTGGTGAATGTGTTGGACAATTTAAAAAGTATATTAATAATAATAACAATAATTAGTGCTGGGCAACAATTAAAATATTTAATCGCGATTAATCGCATGGATTTTTTGCGATTAATCGCATTGTTATGGCAAAGTTCAACAATGAATTAAAAGTAGTGTATTGCGCACTTTTATTTTAAAAGTACTGCTATATGAACTAAAGGGCAATAACATTTGGTTCACGAGATGCAGGTAGCATGTTTTATACTTAATGTGAATATAATTCATACTTTGTTGGCATCTTATTCTGAAAACCGGATGTTTGTCTGAAGAAACCGGATGTTGTCTCACATTAATGTTTCCGCTAACTTTCAAAGTCCTTCGCTCGCTCCCGATCTGTGCCGTTTAAATGCGTTTACCATGAATGTTAGCATATAGGTGCACTAACATGTAAGTGTCTGCTGAGTTGACCACGGAGATCTGAGTGTCTGCTGACTTTACTGTAGCGATGTCCAGTAGTCTCCAGGGAGAGCAACAGCTGGTGCAGCTTCTCTCTTTTTTTCTGGCCCCCCCCCCCCCCCCAACCAGAAGTGGAAGTCGCCTTTTCTCTACGGCAACCCTGAAGGGACATCATATCTCCAATACAAAACGATACACATGAGACAGTCTGTTACAATAATAATAAATTTAAAATACTTACCTGTTTTTTTTTGTTGTTGTTTTTTAATTATTATTATTATTTTTTTCCCATCTCAAAAGGCTCAAGGACATACACACACACGTTCACACACACACACACACACAACTGACTATAGGATGTTTGCTGGCTTTTATCCCACTGTTCTTGTCATCATCTTGTTGTTATGTATATGTATTGTCTCTTGTCTTTCAATAAAAAAATAATAATAAAAAAAAATTATAATACATTTGAAAAATGCGTTAACGCACGATAAAATAATTGTCGGCGTTAATTAATGAATGCGTTAACGCGAAATTAACGCGTTAACTTGCCCAGCACTAATAATAATAAATAAAACATGAATAATTTTAGTGTCCCAAAGTGTTGAGTTATTTAGAGGTTTTGTTCGTGATGTTTATGACGTGTTTTATGTTACGTTGTTTACGTTTTACTTAGTTTACTTACTTTAAGCTGAACCAGGTTGTTCTTCTTAAACCTAACTAAGTGCTTTTGCTTGAATTCACAACTTTACTTTACCTTTAATAAGAACTTCAGCTCTAGAAAATGATCTGACATCCTATTCTTTATGGAGTTGAGGCATTCTCTTCAACATTTCGAGCCTTAAACTTAATGTATAATTGAATATCGTCTCCATAATAATGGTAGAAGATATGTTTAAAATGACTCATCATTACATTTCTGCCCAAGCATATAGAGAGAGAATCACATCGGACCAGGACAGAACCTTGAGGAACACCACAGTAACAACAATAATAATCATAATATATAATATAATATACTTGAATACACAGAAACACAACCACTGGATGGAGGATAAAACATTACTTTATTTTTTTAAAGATGGAACAGGAAATACGAGTGAAATCACAACAAAAAAAGAAGTTCCAACCCAAGCTGTTGATTTAATGAAACATGTTTTTATATTTAAACAATTCTCTGATTCTTGATCTAAGAAAAAAATATTATAAATGTGTTTTTGTGTTTAAATCTATCAGCATACTATAAATAATTAGTATTGATTAAAAGGTTAGATGTTAATTGGTTAGCTGGATCTCATTGGCTGCTTTGGGAGAATCAGAGGCACTCATTGGCTGGCAGCAGGTTTCTTGGTGATCTCCTGCAGATGGGTGGCGATGCGTGACGTCTGCAGAAGTAAAGCTTGGTGGTTTTCAACCAGCAGACTCTGGTGACGAGCCAAATTCTGCAGATCCTGGATCTGCTGTGAACCCTGAGGACAGATTAGTTTAGGTTAGATTAGTTAAACTGGATCAGACTAGATGTCGAGATAGTAAATATGTGATCTTGGAACAGTTCAGGTTGATTATTAGAATATTTCTTTAGATCAGATCAGATTAGACCAGATGTATTAAGTCTGGATCCAGACTTTATGTATCTGACATGGGACACAGCTAAAATAATCCTATCTAACTTTATCTAAACTCAACTAAAAAAAACCTGTGATAAACTAAACCTTATCTAAACTAATCCTGAGATAAACTCAATTAAACCAGAGATAATCTGAAGAAAATCGTACCTAAAATAAACCTGTGATAAATTAAAATAAACATTATCTAATCTAAACCTGAGGTAAAAAGCTAAACCTGAGATGTACTAAAACTGAGATAAACTACACTAAACATTGTCCAAACTAAACCTGGGCTATACATAACTAAACCTTATCTAAACTAAACACAAGATAAATTAGACTAAACCTTCTCTAAACTTCAACTAAATCTGAGATAAACTAAATCCTATTGCAACCTGAGATTAACTAAACGTTATCGAAACTAAAACTAAAGTAATCTTAACTAAACCTCATCTAAAATAAACCAGATTAAATCTTAACTAAACCTGGTATGAACTAAACCTGAGATGAACTTAACTTTATCTCAATTTAAACTAACCTAAAGTAGACCCACCTGAGTTCCCAGAGTGCCGAGCAGTTGCACCACTTGGACCTGGCCCCTGGCGGCCCCTTTCTGGACCAGGACCAGCTGTGTGAGGAGATCCAGGACCTCCTTCCTCCACAGAGCGTCCAGCTGCTGATCCTGGACCAGCTCCGACAGCCGGGGGGGGCGGGGCGTCATCCAATTGGACGGGTGACTGGGCGGCGCCCATCGTCATGGCAGCAGGCTGGTTGTCATGGTGATCACCTGCAGTGAAGACGACTGAAGTCAGAACTTCAGTTCTTACTCGACACCTACAGCGTTCACTGATTTTCAGAATAAAGGTCCGTAAGTTTAGAGTTCAAGAGAGTTAAAGGTGTTTGCTTTGATTGACAGGTGTCTCAGCCAATGGTTGACAAACACTGCAGCCATGTTTTATTATTTTAAGCTTGTTTCACACTAAAAGGAAGCGTAACCATTTGTCCTGGCACAGCAGGCCTGAGTTAATAAATACCACCTGAACATCACCTGAACATCACCTGAAAAAATCATCTGGGTTGGGTTCACCTTCAAGTCATCTGGTCCAAGCTGGTCCAGGTAACATGCAGTCGGTCCAGGTGACATGAAGCTGGTACAGGTGACATGATTCGGTCCAGGTTTCATGATATGCAGCATATGGGACTTGAAGTCAATCCTGGTTTCATGGTCCAGGTGGCTTTAAGCCCATCCAGGTGACCTGAAGTTGGTTCAGGTGACTTGTAGTAGATCCAGGTGACATGAAGTTTGTCAAAGTGATGTTTAGCTGGTCCAGGTGACATGTAGGTAGCCAGGTGACATGGTCCAGGTAAATTGAAGCTGGTGCAGGTCAGATGAAGCTGGTCCAGGTCAGTTGAAGTTGGTCCAGGTAACATGAAGTTGGTCCAGGTGAGTTGAAGTTGGTCCAGGTAAAATGAAGCTGGTCCAGATAAGTTGAAGTTGGTCCAGGTAAAATGAAGCTGGTCCAGGTAACATTAAGGTGTTCCAGGTGACATTAAGGTGTTCCAGGTGACACTAAGTTGGTCCAGGTATCATTAAGTGTTCCAGGTGACATTAAGTAGGTCCAGGTATCATTAAGATATTCCAGGTGACACTAAGTTGGTCCAGGTATCATTAAGGTGTTCCAGGTGACATTAAGGTGTTCCAGGTGACATTAAGGTGTTTCACATGACACTAAGGTGTTCCAGGTAACACAAAGATGTTCCATGTGATATTAACATGTTCCAGGTAACACTAAGTTGGTCCAGGTGACATTAAGGTGTTCCAGGTGACATTAAGGTGTTCCAGGTGACACTAATGTCTACCAGGTGACATTAAGTCGGTCCATCAATGTTGAGGTTGAACCTTTTTAATGAGCCGAAGCTCTGAAGCATAAAAACAGGATCAGAAGTAAAACCTCTTCCTTAATCAGACAGATCCTTTAAACAACATCACAAAGGAGAAGTTGTGTAACTTCAGAGTTTCATTTGTGACTCACAGCTCAATGTTTCACAGCAGGACTTAATTATTATTAAATGATTATTAATGGGTTAAATATGTGAAAAGTACTGCTATATATTTATTAAAGAGAAACTATACACAAAACACATGATGTGAAGGTAATTTCTCTGCAGGGTCAGTGAACACAACATGAGCTGCTGTATATTTATATATATATATAAATATATATATATATATATATATATATATATATATATATATTTATACTGTATATATTTAAATATATAGTATTAGTATATGGTAGTAGTATGACGTCCTTTTGATTGATTAGTTAGTTTTTCAACAGATTCTCACATAATAGTTTGCTAGAGTTTCGTCATTTTAAAGTCCAGTTAGGAGGTTTTGTGTGTGTGGGGGGGGGGGGGGGGGCAGGAAACACATTTTCTCCAGAGACCACAAGACACACTCATTATCCCGTGAGTGTGTGTGTGTGTGTGAGGGTCTCTCTCTTTCTCTCACTTCCTCGTCTCACTTCTTCTTTGTTGACGACGGTGGGAGTGGTGAAGGAACTGGTTACCAAGGCAATGTGTTTACATCCACTGACCTCTCTTATGGGTAGTAGTAGTTGTAGTACTAGTAGCAGTAGACTTTCAATAAGTAGTAGTAGTGGGTGTAACAGTGGATGTAACATAGTAACAGAACTAGTAGTAGCAGTTGTAGTAGCGGGGCTGGTAGTAGTAGAAGTAGTAGTAGTAGTAGTGGTAGAAGTAGTAGTAGTAGTAGTCGTAGTAGAAGAAGTAGTAGTAGTAGTAGTTGTAGTAGAATAAGTAGTTKTTGTAGTAGTAGAAGTAGTAGTAGTAGTGGTAGAAGTAGTAGTAGTAGTAGTCGTAGTAGAATAAGTAGTAGTAGTAGTAGAAGTAGTAGTAGTAGTAGTAGTAGTAGTCGTAGTAGAAGAAGTAGTAGTTGTAGTGGTAGAAGTAGTAGTAGTCGTAGTAGAATAAGTAGTAGTGGTAGAAGTAGTGGTAGTAGTAATAGTAGTGTATCTAATTATCTTTTTCAGCAATTTGTAAACAAATATTAAAAGTATTTTTGAAACATGTTTGGATGTCAGAAGGTCACAAGTTCAGAACTCTTTATTAATAATGAAAACTTCAGATTATTGATTTGTTTTGATCAGCATTTCCACACTTTTCTGTTTCCACAAACAAAAACATTGAAATACTTCTCTGCATCCAACAGCTGATAAAACAACCTAAAATCTACAGAATGATAATAGTAATGATCATAATGATGATATTAATGATAATAATTATTATAATAATGATATTAATGATGATACGAATGATGATAATAATAATGATTATAGTAATGATAATAATGATGATAATATTGATAACAATGATAATAATGATAATAATAAATATAAATATTTTACATTTTGTTCTTTAAAGTCTGTGTGAAGAGTTATTATATGCTAGTAAACATTTAATAGGCCTCAATAAATAGTCATTAAGTGTTTATTACAGTAAAAATAATTGAGGGAATATTGAGGATTGTATGAGCGTTCAAATGTTATTAGACGTTTATAAATGATGATGTATTAATATTAAAGATACAGAGTTATAGCTGACAGCAGTTTATGTTTGTTTTGTTTACACAAACAGATGATTTCTGTTTCTGTTATTGTTTAACATCACGTATTTATTAATGGACGTATACATCGATATTAGAACATTTAAACCCTACATGAATCATATTGTTGAGAGATAATGTTTCACTATCAAGATAATAAACCACTAATAAATCATTAGTAGATGTGTAATAAACAGTTAATAAAGACTTTTTCGTTTTCTGACCTTCAGCAGAGCAGCAGCAGCTGAGGGCGATCGACAGCAGCAGAGAATAGACTTTCATCTCTCTCTCTCTGTTCTTCAGACTGTTTCAAGTCAAACTGAAGGAGACAACTTCCTCTCAGCAACATAACGCCACCCACCAAGCTCCTCCCTCTTCTACCACAAACCCCCGCCCCCCACACACCAAGCAACATCAACATATCTGGAGATAGGTGGTTTTCACTGGACAGGAGGGGAATGAAAATATGTCGTATAGTATAAAGTACAACATCTACCTCTGAGATGTAGTACATTTAAAAGTACAATATTTAACTCTGACATGTAGTTTATAAAAGTACAATATTTACTGATAAGATGTAGTACAGTACAAAGTACAATATTTACCTCTGAGATGTAGTACATTTAAAAGTACAATATTTAACTCTGACATGTAGTTTGTAAAAATACAATATTTACCTCTGAGTTGTAGTGAAGGAAAAAGTACAATATTTACCTCTAAGATTTAGTATATACAAGTACAATATCTACCTCTAAGATGTAGTTTATAAAAGTACAATATTTACCTCTGAGATGTAGTTTATAAAAGTACAATACTTACTTCTGAGATGTTGTTTATAAAAGTACAATATTTACCTCTAAGATGTAGTTTATAAAAGTACAATATTTACCTCTGAGATGTAGTTTATAAAAGTACAATATTGACCTCGAAGATGTAGTTTATAAAAGTACAATATTTACCTCTAAGATTTAGAATACAAAAGTACAATATTTACCTCTGAGATGTAGTTTATAAAAGTACAATATTTACCTCTAAGATGTAGTTTATAAAAGTACAATATGTACTGCTGAGATGTAATAGAGTACATTACCTTTTTCTGAGGTGTAGTACGGTAAAATATACAATATTTACCTCTGAGGTATTAGTACTTAAGTGTAGTAGTTGAGTAAATGTACTTTGTTTCATTCGATGTTCATTAAATACTTGAGAGAAACAAACTTGATGTGTTTGAACTTTCAGAGAAAATGAGGAAGTTTCAGGATTTATTTTTTAACATTCAGCACTTTTGTGAACTTCTTTGTTCCAACAGGAAGTAAGAAAAGTTGCACAAGCAGATTTTCAGATGTTACAAAAGTTATTATGAACACTGCGATTAAATGGCGGATTTATGGTAACACAGATATTAATGTTGGTTCTCCATCGATAAACATCAAAGGCTTCTATAATAAGTTGATCTTTAATAAGACAAAATGTCTTTTTATGTTTTTAACGTCACGTTTCATGATAAACAATTTAAAGTTAAAGTTTCTTTATGTTTCATTCATTAAAAGTGGGATTTTCATAAATCAGCTTCATCAGGACTTAAAGTCACATAATAAACATAAATTCTCTTTTATTTAATCATTAAAAGCGACTTATTTGAAAATAATTATAAAACTTTTAAACTAAGTTTGATTCATAGGATATTTAACAAACTGACAAAGGATTTTATCCTTGGATTTTATTTTGATATTTATTTGATAAAGTTCAACATGAATCAGATCAGTCTGTCTAAAAGCAGTTTGAATAAACATAAAAAAGATTATAACACAGATATACACAGACACTTCAGAATACTACAAAGTAAATAAAGACAATGCAGCTGAATATTATGATGTTATAAATCAGATTCAGGACCTGCTGCAGTTTACTTAATATAGAAATATTGTTTATGTTTGTGGAGGCGATTAAAAAATGATTAAAAAACAAGTTTCAAAGCTCTTTTCATATGGCAGCCTTACAGTCTTCACTTTGGGTAAAATAACCCTAATATTCCAGCAGAACCTTGTCACTGTCTGTCGATGATGTCATGTTATGACTAAAAGGTTCAGATGCGGTTCAGATACAGTCAGATACGGCCCTATGTTCTGCCTGGCAGGAAGACTACTTTAGGTTATTTAAGCCCTTCATCCAGTTTGGAAGGCAGCTGATCCTTTCACAGGCAGCTCTCCTCTTCGTCACAACTGCGTGGCGAATCGGGAGGTTCCTCGACTTCCTGTCTGTCCTCTGATGGTGTCACTTCCTGTGACTTTGACAGCTGAGGGCTGTCATCATGAAATGCACAGCATTTGAACAACAATTGAACAATAATTGATCAACATTATATAAACATACATATATATATGTTTATTGTTCGTACCTGACTGCGTCCAGCGCAGCGCCTCCGCTGGTTTCTATGGTGACGTCGGTGTTGGGGATGATGTAGGTACCGTGGGAGAAGCCTGCCTCCTCTGGCTCCGTCTCAAACAGTTGAACGGTCACTTGAGGGGCGGGGCTTCCTGTAAACAACACAGAAGGTTTGTGTGTGTGTGTGTGGGGGGGGTCTGGTGAGTTTAGCTTCACTGATCAGAAACATATCAATAAAGTAATCCATGAGATTCTGACTGCTTGTGGCCGTTTGTCCGTCATTCTGTCCAGAAGGACTCCATCTGGATCGTGCAACAGCCGGACTGTCACCGTTCAGGAAGTCCTCGGTCAGCTGGAGGTAACGCTGACGAGAAACAACAACAATAAGTGACCCAACTGGATCTTAAGGAACCGTTGTAAAGAGAACTCCAGAAATAAAACATAGAACATCAGGGTTACACGTTCTCTACAAAGAGTCTTTGTAATAAACAGGAAACACTGATCTTATAACAATAATAATAATAATAATACATTTTATTTATATAGCGCTTTTCAGAATACTCAAAGACACTTTACATTAAAATCATTATATATAAAAGCAATACACTAAAAACATAAAATACACAATATCGGTCACACATTAAAAGCAGTTTTGAACAGGTGGGTTTTGATCTGTGATTTGAATGTGGAGAGGTCAGTGCAGTCTCGGATGTGTTTGGGGAGAGAGTTCCAGAGGGAGGGGGCAGATATGGAGAAGGCTCTGTCCATGTCCGGTGCTTGGTCCTGAGTGGAAGTGGTTGGCATCAGAGGAGCGGAGCCGACGGGGTGGAGTGTGGTGGTGGAGCAGGTCGGTGAGGTAGGAGGGGGCCTGATTGTGGAGGGCTTTATGAGTGAAGAGAACGATTTTGTATTGGATCCGTTGTGGGACGGGGAGCCAGTGGAGGTTCTGGAGAACAGGGGTGATTTGGTCATGGGAGCGGGAGCGGGTGAGGAGGCGAGCAGCAGAGTTCTGGATGTACTGGAGTTTATTTAGGATTTTGGATGATGTGCCATGAAGAATGCTGTTGCAGTAGTCAATTCTGGAGGTGATGAAGGCGTGGATCAGAGTTTCAGCAGCAGATGAGGAGAGTGATGGGCGGAGACGGGCCATGTTTTTTAAGTGGAAAAAGGCAGTTCTGGTGATTTGTTTGACGTGGTCATCTTGTGATGAAGAGTCTTTGTGTTTAACAGTAGAAGGTCAGACTTCTTGTAATGGATGTTATTTTATGAGTTATAAACTGTGTGACTTTTTTAGAGGCACATGTAAAATTATAAACTATATAATAAAGGATATTAACCTTCCTTACCCGAGAGCCCCCCCAGCGGGGGGCTACGGAGAAAGTTTAGCGTACAGCGTGTCGTAGAATGCACTTCTCAGAAATGACTATTATGAATGCTACACACGTTATATACCCACTTAGCGAAGAGATTATGGGCAAAAATATCATGTAAGCCATTTTACACACTGCAAACACAATTATACACAAACTAATATAATATCTAGAAGATGTACCACAATATCACGTATTTTTCGCCATGACTCAGCGAGCCATGCACTCCGGACAATGCTACGAACAAAAAGCTAACGGCTAACACAGCCGACCAATACATCAGAAAGCACGACAATTCGACACAGAATCCAGAGATATCTTCAGAATTTCTCTCCGTGAAACCATTACAAAGATACATATTTCCTGTGTTTTTTTAAGTGTTTCCTGGAGGAAGGGGGGCCAGACAAGCCTGGGGGACCGTGGGGGGAAGGGAATTCACTTATGACTAATCCGTTTTTACGCAGGGCGACGCACGGCACAGTTTTGTTTTTTTCCGGCTAACGATTCTATCAATCAAGCCCATGTGTCCCCCAATGCATTCCTGAGACTCTGACGCGTCTAAAGAGGTGTCATAGTCTGGAATTGGCCAATCACAGGCTGAAAAAAGCCTCACATAGACAGGCAGACGAGAATTGATCCGTGGTTCACAGACATAGACAGGGTTTAGAGAGGCCTCAGGCTCTCAAAATGATGCCAAACTGCTGAATTTGGATGGATTGAATACTATTAATGATAAAACAAGTGAAATATAAAGTTATATAGTATATAAAAGGAACAGCTGGTTCCAAAATGACAATTGTGCTCGACCTCGAGTGACCTATCTGTACTAAAACCTCTCTAACTTTTTTTTGCTTCACTTTATCGAAGCAAAAATGTGCAGAGAGACTGCTGACGTGCTATGATTTGGGAGAGTTTTTAGGGTTTGCTTTTTTTCAGGTGAACCTGAAACTTTTCAATTTCAGCTGTGTGCCATCTTCATTTACTATTAACCAGTAACATATACACAATATTTACACATCTGAACAAATCTCACAAGTGTTACCTGTATTATAACATCAACATTATTAAAATAGACCTTGTAGTTACAGAATTACAGTCTTTTTAGTATAGCTATGCAATTTTCGAGCAGAGGCCTAAAAATAGGGCCAGGGCCCAACGGGTAGTAGTTTGGTACCTTTTTGTAGTTGTCAGTCAACATGTTGCCCACGGAGATGACCAGAGAGGAGAAAGACGGTCTGGACTCAGGTTTCTCGTCCCAACACTGTTTTATCAGATCATACCTGAAGACAGAACACAAAGACAATTTAACCCACGTTGGACTCTCAGAGATTTCCTTTGGTCAACTTCAGGAGGAACAGAGCAGAGCTTCACTTGGAGAAGAAACTAGAAACATTCAAGACGTAAGAAATAAACGTGAACATATCAGCGTTAGTTAGTGTCCTACATGTTGAGAGGAGCCAGTTCAGGTCCACTCATCCTGTAGCCTCTCTGCAGAGAAGAGTAGAAGTCCTGGTTCAGAGGGAGGTCAGGGTACGGACTAGCACCTTGAAAACACAGCATACTGGTTTAGACTGGTGTGTGTTGATGTATACTGGTTTACACTGT